GGGGGGTGGTCCGAAAGTAGGGTAGTAGACTTAGTGAAAGGATAGATTCTATAGTGAAAGGGTAAGATCTAAGGATAGAATCCATACTATAGAATCTAGTTATTTAAGAATAGATTCCAAGTGGTATAAGAGTAATTTGCCGTTTATCCAATCATTATTGAAACTATTCAATGTGACTTACTAGTCATCGAATTTGAGATCATTCAAGTTGATTCACTATTATTGAAATCAATCAAATTGATATGAATCTATTCAAATTGTAAAGAAATAGAATATGATTGAATGATTTCGGAAGATATAAATGAATTTGAAATCACTGATTTAGGGTGAAAAATGAAGCTATATCTAATTAGGATTAAGTTATGATTTAAGATCTCAATATAAGATTTCAATATATCTCAATACATCTTTTAATATGATAATTCCTTGTATACAATGAAAAGGCCGGTATGAGGTGCCCATAGGGTTTATCTAAGTCTACACTTTGCCTACAGAGTATGTCTTGCATGTCTGTCTTCCTTGCCAATACAGCAAATTGGCAAAATGTATAAATTGGTTGAGGCCTCTCATATATGCAAAGAACTTGGCCCAAATTTTTCTCTTCATAAATCCCTACCTTACTTTTCTTCGTCTACTCGAGTGTATTACGTCCAAGTCTTTGGCCCAAAAGTTTCTCCTTCAGGAAGTATTTTACGGACTGCGGTATCTGTTGCATCCATCGTCTTAAATACATCTACGTTTCCGAACCACTGGGTTTGTTAATATCCAAATATCCAAATATTATGGGATACGATGAGGAATATTCAGGAGGGGAAGAGGGAAATAAGTATAAGACTTACTTGAGGAGGCTTGACATTGGTGAGATCTAATGTGAAAAATATAAGGAGGGTGCAGAGAATGAGACCGGTGTCTAGAGCTGCGGAGGTTACATAATTCTACACATTTATACCTAGTCAGTATTCGCAACAAATAAACCCGTCTGTCTCTTTAGAAAAAGAGAAACCGGGACAAGAAAAACCTACATAACCTTCCCACCAACCCCCCCATCTTCTCCTAATCCAATACTGAAAGATGAACCCCACAAGTCCCCAACACAGAAAATTATACCCAGTAGCAGGAGGTAGAATCTGTAGACCTCCAAACATGATGGGGATAATTAGGTATTTGAGGGGCGAGCGAGGGTAGGCTTTGGCTAGTGCATAGGTAAGAATGGGGAGGAGAGCGCCGAGGAGAAAATAATACAGCAGGGGTTGATAGTAGGATTCAGGGGAAGAGAAGATACGCGAAGGACCGATGACTCCCCAGATGATTGTAGTGGTGAAGAAGGTTGAGGGGCCGGGACAGGTGTAGGAATTGGGTTGGGTGGGGGTGCAGATGCTGGGTTATGGTTAATATCAGGATTTTCTGTTCTTTTGGGATTTTTGGGCTAGATGAGGGAAGTGATGGAGAATGCTTGATAGTTTTCGAGAGAGTACTGACTCGGGGATGTGGAAAAGTGCCCAGTTCATCACGGCGATTTGTACAATAGATGACCATAAAGCAGCTACACACTGTGCGACGAACATTGTTCTTGGAGGGACCTTCAGGTAATGACCTAATTTTAAATCCTGAAGGAAGAATTGGGCTTGGGTCATTGTTATGTAGCCTGTATCATTATTAGCTTTTACAACACGCATCATACATATAAGATGTATCATATAATGGGCAGATAAATGAGAGAGATTATTTACCATAAGCCTTGAATAGCATCATAGCCACTGGACGTCCAGGCAACATGTATCCAATCACAAACTCCGTGAAGACATTAAGTCCTATTTGAATATTGGTCGTGGCGAATATGATACCGATGGGTACTGTCCAGATGAGAGGAATAGCAATACAAACTACAAAGGCCCACCATTTTAAATGGGTGTCCCAGACGAGGATGACGACGAAGGAGAGTGCAAGCATGACGAGTCCAAGGGTTATATACCACCTATACAAATATTCATCAGCACCTAGCGACTATTGACACGGAGAGAAAGAATGAGGGGGCAGGAATACCAGTCTGGTGCGTCTTTATAGTTCTTCATGAGTTTCATATGAATATCATCTTCTTGATTCCGAGCTTGTTTCCATTGTCTCCAAATGGTTTTGCTTTCATATCTACCATGAGCTTCATTAGTTATGATTTCCAGGTTCACATTCCATCTCATTTCATGGGTCCTCCTTGAATAGACTCACAAAATCGTATGAACAATCACACTACTAATAGCCGCAAAACAGAATCCTATAACAATTGACCTCAATCAGCACCTCCACCTTCATCTCTCATCTTCCACACAGAACAAGAAGAGCCCTACCATAATTCAACGCAAAATTCGTCGATAGAAATACCGGCGAATATTTCCTATACAATTCCTCACTGAATTCCAGATTCACATTGAGGATTCTACTGACGTTGTATGGTTTCCCTGTATTATCGTAGCTGTGTCCATTGTTCATGGGAAGATAATCCGCATACCAAGTTCCCGTATAATGTACACCTAGCGAGCTAATGATTACGAATATAAATAAGCCAACCAAAGTATTCGCGATGGCATACCAAGGACTATGATATGTTTTAGCATGAGATGAAATGACGTGCATTCATCTTTATGATTTGATGATGCCCGGTGTATCTTATCTTGGACGTCGTGGAAGAGAAGCTCACTCACGGTATCAGGGGAGAATACAAATATCCAGTCACAACAGTCCAATCAAATGTAATAGGGATCAATCCCAAGCCCGTGAAACCACCGAAAAGCTGATTAACAACGGGATTTTGAGGGGCAATCCAGCATGCAAAGGTGAAGTATGAGAGGCCTTGGAAGATCCAGCCGGGAAAGAAATACCATATGAATGAACCTAGAGAAATAAAATTAATCTCTGGTGGATGAAGCATGTAGGAAGTATGCAGCTCGGAAGATAGCACTTACCATTGCTAACTAAAATCGAAGGGGAGAAATAAAGATACCGACAGTAGGAGAGACGGAGAACATACCACTCATGACATACAGAAACCATCTATATTTCGAAATACTCCAACCATTTGTAGCAGCCGGGTCCGAAGGACTGTGATCATGCAGACTATTTCCCCACGTGAAAATTCATTAGCAGCCAAGCTCTTAACTTTCATCTCTGTTCTCTGTTCTCTGTTTTTGGTACTTATGCCTATCTCTCTTCTCCTTACATCATCCCCAACCCAAGCGCGAAATAAGAAATTAGCAACTTACGCATACATCAACGCACAATTAACCAAATCACTCGGCCAAATCATCGCCGCAGGCCAAACCAACCACCTTCTACAAATCCCCGCCAACCCAAACCCTAACATTTGATTCGTGATCGCAAAGAGGAGTTGAAACGCCCATCTATATTTCCCATCTTGTTAGTACCAATACATATATATTCACATGAATATTCTCTCCCCTCCTCTCCATCCCCTCCACTCTCCCAAAAATAAGACAATATGTATAAACACCATACCCAAATTTCTGCCCATAAAACACTTCTTGCGAGATAAGTATATCGGTAGCGTATATCGACGCACCAGCATATCCCGCATTGGCCATCACAACCACAATGGCATGTTCCTTCATATTCCATTTTCCTTCCTTCAACCTTATTTTCCATTTCCTCGAACCACAGCCCCAGACTTGAAAGTCCCAGCTCCAATCGGGGATGAGCATGTCCCAGCCTTTACCTAGAGGCCATGCGACTAGTTGGACACACTGTCATGTGGTATCATCAGTATCCTTTCCGTGTTAAAATTTCTCTCGACTTCCAACTAACAAACCTCAACTCTCTTTGTCACAGATGTCCATTGGACTAGAAGTGCTACTTCGAGAGAAAACTCACAACAGTAGTAACAGCAATACTCGGACTCCTCAAACTGAACAAACAATTAATCCCCGCTCCCACCGTCGTAAGCCCCAACCCAATACACCAAGCTCGAATCGTGTTACATGGAAGTGTGGGATCATCTATTTTTATGCTTTAGCATTAGTTTTGGTGGTTTAATTTTGCATGGGCTCCAAAACCAATCCTCCTAAAAGCTCTGACTTGAATACTCGTATATGAATACTCGTATATACATACCCGTATTACGCACCGCAGCCCGTACTTGCGGATACGGCGAATTTAAAACTAACTCTGGGGTATCGGTAGATCGTTCTGGAGATTTTTCAGGATCATGGTCGGGGGAGTGGGAGTGGGAGGGGTGGGATGGGATCGAGCGGATGGGATCGAGATCGAGAGAGGGGCGGAGAGAGGGGAAGATGATAGGAGCTGTGGTGATGGTTGTAGCGAGTTTCTCGTTCTGGTGAGAAGGGCTGTTTTGGGGGATGGGAAGCCCGTGTGTTTCATGTTCTACATGTAACGGCTTAGATTTCAACCGATGAGTAAGGAATGAAAATGTCATCGTGTCTCTATTCTCAGTTCTCAGACCTAAGTCAATGAGGATCAAGAAATCAAAGGTTCAAGGAATCACCGTTGTGGGGATTTAGCTATGTACCATACATATATCTAACACACAATTTCACATCCATCCTGTTATACAAATCATTCAATCCCCCCAAAAAGAGACTGCACACATTAACCAATATATCCACGATGGGTACCAAGCTATGCTTGGCTCGCTCTCACACCACATCGAGCAGAGTACATTATCCTGTGAGAAGGTTGTGATAACATAACACCAAATGAGAAAGAAGTTGTGCGATATTGTATCTACTAAAGAGTAACGCTAGCGAGATTTCTCGAGCTGAAGTTCTGAGACAGTGTGACAGTCTTGTAAATTATGATGATTGATGATCGACACCTGATTTGATTAATATGTGTTACCCATGCACGACATTTCCTTATCAGATAAAGATCCCGCTACATGATACGATAGCAGTAGCTCGTACTGGTTATAATTAGCCGTCATTTCCAGGCTCGAAGTAAAGAGAGAAATACATGATCTGAAGACTTATCTAATCATCAAGCCATAACGACGCATGAGAATCAGAATAGACAAATTGCGCAAGCCTTACTTGTAACCAGGAGACTCTACAGTGACCCCAAAGATAAGCCTCTAGTCTTCCCCTTGTAGATAGTCTTCCAGTTCTCCGGAAAAAGCACCATCCAGACCTGAAGACTTACGTGTGCATAGTCCCATCACCCAGCTCTAGTGCAAATATGCGCAAGGCAGCTTTTCTCACCCTCGGCTATCATTGAAGGGAATATCGAATATATATTGTAATCTATGCACCATGGATTTGCAATCATACCTTCCAAACTCATCAGCATCTCCGAGCTTCCGGATTCGGAGCCGCGAGGGGGACCTGCTTTATTTCCCCGGGTGGGTCTTACTTCTACCCCTCATGTCTCCTTTTTAGCCGAGGTGAATAAGGTATGCGCCGTACATCACAACTTATGCTGAGTAACTATAAGTTTTCCACAAGTCGTATTCCTATTGCGCTGCTCGCGAATCTTACTACTTCAAGAACCGATTTATTCCGCCGTAACACAGTATTCATGTTGTTCACCGAAGTTGTTTCGAGCCTCATGCAGTCAGCTTACATGCTCAAGGCTGCAAGGGTTTTCGCGATTGCCTCGCTACCGACCAATTACTTCGACACTCACTAAAAACGCTCCCGATGAACGGGCCATACGTAGGTCTAAGTTTCGAACTTTCGATCGGAGCACCATGCCAAACTCTAGAAAGAAGGAATAGTTTGACATAGGCAGAATAAGCAGTAGAATACAGTGATGTAGTAATATGTGATTTCTCACTATATCCTTATCGCATGAGGCATCAAAGGATGCATACTATCCTCATGAGCTTCAGTGAAGAGTGTATAATATACGAAGAATGTCAGCCATAACAAACGAGGCATCATGAATTGACAATACTGCTGTCAGAAACGCGATTTTGCTCGACCGCACTGAAAAAGCGAGAGGTCCCTGCATACTCCTGCCGGTTTCGACTCAGAAACGGTCATTATGTTTGAAATATATTGGCTCGGAAGCGAAGCTGAACCCCCGAGAACACCTCAGTACAATAATAACTTTCAGATTCGCTGTGTTTGTGTATCGATAAGCAATAATTTTTCAGTTCATGCTGTTGAGTTACACCGATGCACGCGGCATACTCGTGGCGCGGTCCGAAGCGTGAGGCTCTCAGCCCATTCATGGGCACCTTGCTGTCGCACGAACAATAGTCTTCACGATGATATTTTGTTTGACATGAAAAAGGATGTATACAGATTGAAACAGAACTTGTATCAAAACCTGACATGGAGAAATGAGATCTCAGCCATAGCTCAGTCACTATACCGAGTCTATGCGTGTTGGTCAGCCTCGTAGCCTTTCCTTGCGCACAAGCAACGATCACTTGACCCTTGCATCGAAGTTGCCTTCTCCAGCGTCAGCGTTACCCCGCATCACTCACACCCATCGACGAAAGAAAGCCACGCAATGGGGAAATCCAGCCTCCAGATGGTCATGGGGTTCTCTTCCTGATTGTGCAGCCTCTAGACGACTAGATATCGCGATCGCAAGATTGCACTTCAATCTCGAAATCCAAAAATGAAGGCAAAAAAACAGAACGGCAAGAAAAACTTCGTCACCGACTCTCAGCATACCAAAGGCACAAGTGAAGGAATGTAGGTAGGATTATAAGTCATTTCTGCTTTTTCTCGAGTTGAGAGTGAAAAGGAATACTCGAGTAAAATAGACGACGCCCAGACTCGATGCTTACAATATATTACTTGAGCGCAATTCTACCAATGGCTTCATCTCAAAAAATGCATGTCAGATTATCGCTTGATTGCCTTCATTCATCAACTCTGTGAGTTCATCGAGAAGGATGACTAGAGAATCGTATAAGCAGCTTCCGCATCCAGTAACCAGCGCGGTGGAATGTATTGGCGTGGTTTTGGTAGATGACGCGATAAGGCTGAATTTCAAGTAAGCACCCGCATTCTAGAGGGAATTATTTCGAAAAGAAGATTAACCGAAGGATTATAGAATCAATAGAAGGCATAGAAGCCTCGTGGAAAGTATAGCAATTAAATCAGGCCCCTAGCGATAAAATTAGTAATTACTTTTCAAAAGGGCATTCCACAACATCCATGAGGTAATGGTAAACCTATCTTCTTACCCCCACAACGCTCTACTCTGCAAAGAATAGATAAGCCTCTCGATATCCAAGGCGCTGCTCGAATGAGTAATGGAAACTTCAAAGTAGGTAAGTCCAAGAAGGCCAGATGCATGAAACTGACGACAGCCTCACAGATTTATAACTGTCATGCATTGAAATTCCCTTAACGTTATACGAACACACACAACTCCGGTTCCGCGGGGCTCTAATCAAGGATTTCATCTGCTTATTCCTGCCAAAGGCGCCTGTGAGCCGATGGTGACAGATATATTATGTAATGTTGCAGTATAGTGAATGCCTCGAGAGACGCCTTGAATTAGCGGTTATGAAAAGACTCCCAATCGGCCAGACATGTCGGCATTTCGGTCACAAAGACTTGGAGATCATCAGAGACATACCGGTACTCAAGTATATACTATAATATATCTAATCCGTACTTCCCCATCATGCAGAGCAAGCCACTTAGGCCAGCAGGCTATTTTCAATTTTTCTATCCACGTACGTATGCCGCAAAATCAGTCCAAGTCAGCACCAGCCTAGCCTGCCAGCCTGACTACAAAAGAACAAAATGTAATAACAAACCATGCGCGAGATGCAACCCAAGAATTTGAGCAACCATCAACAAGCCTTACCACACAAAAGAAAACTATGGTAGACAACTTGACAAATATGTGAATTCAGCCATTGCATGTAATGTGACTGTTGTGAGCTCAGATGGGTGACACACGGCTAAGTAGCATTTAACCGATCCCGAAAATTCAGCCGAAGTAATGCGAAGTGTACCGAATGTTGCCTCGTCGATTGGTGTTCCGGGTCAAACGTCGCGATGAGATCCCGTGATTAGGGCCGAGTTGCCTCAAGACTGCGGCGTAATGATATGGGCATTTATACGTCGTTCTTTAGGAGCTGATAGACATACTTAAGCCGTCCTTCTTTGAAACATGCTATGTGTAGGTAGTTGCTTGCGTAGAGACACAATCTGACCGCATCAACTCACTCGAAATCACCTGCAATCAAGTGCCAAAACCAATCAAAACATGCGTAAAGTTCATCAATCGTTATTCTTTTGACTGTATTACAATTGGAATAAAGTAGAAATAACCAACCTCGACAACCAGAGCCGAGGACCTGAAAAGAAGAATGGAAAAAGAAAATAATGTATAACAAAATTGATAACCTATGCTTGTATGAGACTCAATTTGATCATGCCAACATGCTTAAAAGTTGGGACCATGGATGAAAACGAATTTTCCATCCTGCCACCGAAGGAAACACCACATGTTATTATTTGGCTGTCTAAACATTTGTACAGTACCGCCACCATCGTTCATAAAAAGACATGAAAAGTGTCCGCGGAGACCACTTTCCAGGCACTGAAAATCTTCCCAAGTTCTACGAGGCGTGTTGAACGACTTGCTGCGATGAATTCTGCACATTCTGTCAGGCTCAATGCTACTATTGAGTTTACTGTGGTACATACCATCAATCTGATCAAGTTTCTTAGTCATTCTTGAATCGAGTCTTCCCATCATTGTAGAGTCTTCAAAGTTTCATTGTATTCTCCAGCAACGAAGGTGGTTTGATTGCTCATTCATGAGGAGGTGTATCTGCTGCAGTCATTGTGACCGATGACATGTCCTCTTCAGCATTAGGATAAGTTTCTACGCTTAACCAAGTTTCTGCTCTTGTAACGGTGTCATCAGTAGTCGCTGGAGCGAAGGTCAAGGACTCCACATCTGTATCATTACTCTGAACAGAAAACTCTGGCTTGGAACTATCGAAGTTAATCCATGGACCGGCATCTGCAACACGACAAGCTAGCCATAATATGCGTTCTTTGCGTTGATCGAGCATAGATGGAAGCTCGTGATATTTCTCTTCTTCATCACTCTTCTCGTTGAGGAACCATCTTGCAGGGAAGTATTTCTCTGCCCATAGTAAACCGCGCATTCCAAAATCTTCAGGAAAGGGGCGGACGTCATCTTTCTCTGGCAATGGGAATTTCTTATCCTCAATACGGCTAAAGGTCTTGTAGGACTTAAGTAACGTATTAAGCATGATAGCCAGAGATTGCCAAGGAAACGTCGGTACCAAGATATCCATTGCGCCTGAAAACTGAGACATGCGAAACATGAAAACAAGAGAGACGTGAATGAAGGGGAGAACATTTGGGTCCCCTATTCTCTGCAATACAATCTCCAATGCAGAATTACTGAGATTCTGTGCGTACTTGAACGCTATCATGGAGGGAGAAATGTCGTCCTGAGCAGAATCCATATCAACGTCGGCTGTCTCGTCTCCCGAAGAAGACCCAATAGCTTTCATGAGTGGATTTTCTTTAGACGCAAATCCAAGCATCGCAACGTTGTTAGATACGGCGATATGGCAGCCTTGCTCCATGAATTTCTTGGTTACTCGGCCGATTTGGGTGTCAAGTAGTCCGAGGAACTCCTTTACTGCAGGTTCAAACCTTTCCATGTTTCTGTTCGTGAACAAATGCCCGTGAGCTCGGATAAATGCAGTATCCAAAGGTGGCAATCGATACTGACCTTGCCCATTCTCAGCATTGAGGACAGGATCGAAGAGTGTAAGTATCGATTCTCGTGCAGACGTGAAAGGTACTAGAACACACAACGACTTTGCGTAGTAATACAATTGCTGAAGAGCATTTGGTCGTGCCAAAATTGCAAGGTGATGATACAACCTACCAGTCGTAGGAGCTTTATCTGAAGCTTTTGAGTACCAATGTCGTGCTACACCAGTCCAGACATCTCTATCTCTGATGTCGTCATCCTCAATGGCCATCCTGTATCGTCCTAGATCTCCCAAGCATTCAATCCATGTATCTTCGAAGGCTGGTACGGTCTCGTACAACAAAGCCATCATCGAATATGCCAAGTATATAAAGGCAAGCATATGATCAAGTGAAGCTGGTAGTCGGTGTCTGAGAAGTTCCAGGAAGGAATGAATACCGTGTCGCCACATCCTAGCGGGCATAGCATATTTGGATGCCAAACGACGTAGAGCAGGACTAGCAGATGGATGCTGAGAAGCTAGGAAGAAGTCGTGATGCTCGTGGAGTAGGGTACGATGCAAAGCGATAAGGGCTTGCCATTGCTCATTGTTGAGTTTCGGTTGTGTAGGAGGATCGCCCTGCGCAAGTGTAGCTTGCTTATTATCAACTTCGATACACTTAGCTTCAACCATCACAAGACCGGCATATATACCTTTGACCTCTGCTACGAGTTGTTCTTGAGAGATGGGTCTTGTCTCTGGCTGAAGAATAATGCTGTAAGGTACATTTTGGGATCTTGATTCAGTTTCCGAGGTTGTCCTGTTGGGCAAGATTGCAGATGGGTAATTGGCCGGAGCATGATGATGGTGGTGGTGCTGCTGAATTGCTTGAGGTGCTGACCGGGGTGTGGTTTGAGGTGGAGATGTCTTTGTAGGTCTTCGATTGGCTGGTTTGAAGCCTTGAGCTCGAGACTTTGAGGCTTGTATAGAAGCAATGTTGGAGGGATCAAAGGATGATCTTGTGAATGGCGAGTCTTGATCAGGGGTCCACAGTTGTCCCTTTGTAGCCTGTCGCCGAGTTTCCGTATCTGATGTGGAAGTTGGTCCAGAGGTTGGTCGAGCTAAAGATCTTCGTGGCGGGGGAGAATCCGAGGCTTCGCGGAATGGCGATGCTGAACCTGCTGATATACCATCTCCTACAGCAGCTCTCTTGCGCGGTTGGTCTGTTGTAATTTCTTCATCCTCCATAGTAATATCCTCATTTGGTCTCAGGTTTAATGCTTGAAGGCCGGAAAGCGATCGACTAGGTTGGGGAGCGTTGAGGGGTCGCTTAGTTTGTAATTGTGGAGGTTGGGGGTCTGCTTGAGCAGCGGAAGCCTCATTGTTTGAAGATTTCCGGGGTGAATATTCATCTCTTGTTGGTCTTTGTGCTTTGAGTCAGCCTTAATTTTCCCTTCAAAGGGGACAATTGTGCCTGGATCAACTGACCTTTTCAGTGCGCTTTTGCTTTCATAAGATTTCCGAAATTGCTTAAGTTCATCTTGGTTAGATGGAATCTCATCCTGATGGTCCTTTTCTGCATGGTTCCACAAGTCGATTTCTGAATGGAATATCTTGCGCTCCGGGCAATATATGCAGGCCCAAGATTGGGTTGTCTTTGTTTTTCGGCGCTGATGCTGTATCCATAGATCGCTTACATCTGCTTTCGGTTTGATCATTTCTGGATTCATGTCAGTTCCATGTCTGAATTGTTGTTGTTGTTGCTGTTGTCGTGACATTATTATATTATCTAAGAGGGGGTTTAACATACCGGGCTGGATTCGGAGTCGGAGTCGGAGTCGGAGTTGTTGGAGTTGGAGTTCGGGTTAACTAGCACATGCGCCTGACTTCTAAGGCTTTGATGACAAGGATATGACAAATATATGTGACAAAAATACTTTGAGATGGGCTGACTGCAGGTGGGGTGGACAGATTGTGTTTGAATAATTCAATTGAAATAAATATATCAAGAGCATTAGAAGGTTATGGCTTATTGATTAAGAAAGCTGTGGGAAACCATGAGAAACCATGAGAAACCATGACTACATATATATAAACAACATTTCCGATGTTTTTTTTAGGAGGCTCTAAAGTTCTAAAGAATACCTAGGTATGATTACGGTGAAGCAGTTAAGATTTGCCTTAATGGCGAACCATTTTTGCGCACCACCACTTCCGGCATGAGGATTCCCCACGAATCCACGGATTCACTCACCGAAAAAATCACAATACTGGCCCCCCCAACTCAAATCACTGAAATTCGAAACTTATTCCAGAATACATTAGATCAGCCTCAAGCCTTAGACATTGTATCCATTTCTATTGAGGTTCGCCAGAAGTCTCCAAACCATACAATGTGCATTTCAATCCCCCCCTACTTATCATAAAGTTGACATAAGACCTCGATGTCTGCCCCGCCGACTTACTACATTCTCTGCTTCCTCTGTCATCCATCAGTCCTTCCCCTTCAAATTTGTTTCCTCGACATCTATTCACCGATTTACGAAATACGAGCATAAGTATGTAAGAAGTTAGAGGTAAGACTACATGCAGGCAGTCTAGCTAGCCATTGTATATTACGCGCGCGGCATTCTCCTCCATTATCCTCTATTATGACCCCCCTTTCCAACCATACCTACGCACCAACAACATCTCCATACCACTGCTCCGGCCGGGTCAAAATCGCCAACTCATTGGAATTCCCAACCAATGCCTCATCAATAACATGTAGGAGTTGACTCAGTTACTTACCTACAGTCGGGATTGGATCACGTCACTATAATCGAGGAGGATCCCCGTGATTCACCATGCTTTGGTGGCGGTGCACGTTTCAAGAAGCTCGTAGCCATTTCTGAAACACATGAGATGAGAATCATGAGATAGAGTGTTACTTTCCTGACCATAACTAGCGCTTAGGGATTCTAGGCATATCAATCGGAAATGAATCGTTGCCGAGTTCTTGCTTGCCTAGTGTCAACATTACTCACCTGTTCATTGCGGTCACAACTCGGAAATCCTATAATACAGTGATTTCCAGATGATCAATCTCCTGAGCCCGACAAAGAACGACTCTAGGAATGTTTTAAATTGTCGTTTTGTTTTCTGTCTTAAATCCTCAAAAGGAGGATTCATGTGAATCACTGCGGTCTCTGTGAACAAGTGCAGCATTGATCACTACGGAAACAGTGATTATTAGAGCATGACCCCGCTGAGGTATGCTTTTTGTATTTCACCGCTGTGAAGGATTGAGGTTTGAATACCTCGTTCCGCGATGAAATCTAACAAGGTAGATACTGTATAGAAAACCGTGGTTCGTTGTTGTATATTCGGACATTTCCCCAAGTCCCAGATTCCGGTGATTGTTTACCAGATTGTTTTTTCCCGGCGCGATTTAAAGTTTCATGAGCATCAGCTGAGTTTTATTAAAAGAACAAATATACTTCAGGGCCCATGCGCGGCTGCCTCATCGCATTTAGAAACACTGACCGTCTGAAAGAAAAGAAACCAGTGATTCAAGATATGTGCATATCCTAAGCAAATGCCTTTCATATCATTACTTTTACCAGCCTCATAAGCCGTTGACGCAAACATTGAGGCTGGCTCCCAAAAGATGCGAATGCCTCGCATTTGCATACGAAATACTTCCAGCTACGACACGCGCAAGTGCGTGATACTTATAAGGCTCTATTCTAGAATGAAAAAATTCCATTCCATGATACAGCAATTTAGAAGCCAAGGAAGAAAACTCACCTCGGCCCGTTTCTTCGTCAGTTCAAACGCCTGTCCGTGTAGGGCAAGCACGAGCCTTTCTCTCTCTCTCTCTCTGCACCCATCCATCTACCAAAACTCCATATGTCGTACAAAACCTCATGTATGCTTCTCGCCTACCTACATAATTCACATACGCGAATCAGCTTAGCAGTCACGGGAGGGTGCTTCGCGCCACATTTCGTTTGACCAAGCTCTCCTATTCTTCGCTTTCTACTAAAATGTCCCAACATTGGAAGCCTGGTTTTTGCCTTGCGAAAGAAAGGTGACTTTTCTCTGGAGATATTGTGATGGTGGCATGAAAATACATCTCCTGTTCCCTCGGACATGAGCGTGCCGCCCTCAGCCGGCGAACCCCGAAGGTGGTAAGTGATCCTATTGCTACTACACTAGAATTGCATGTCAATTCCAATTCCTTTCTTTCGATATCTTCCGCTCGCGAGCCATTCGTGTCATCAATATTCCGTCTATGCCTGCCGCAAAATTTTCTGTGAAAGAGAATATTTCTCATGTGAAGGATCTATTTTCAATCAAAGCTTCCGATTGGCACATTGATACCCTTGTGCAACCACAAACGAAAAGCTGATTGGCTTGATGCCGAGTGGCTGATGTAGCTCGTGGCAAATTCACAACCCCTGATTTTAGGGGGCTGTAGCACTGCGAATTAGTAAACGATCTTCTTGAACTTTCTGAATTGTTAAAACTATCGGATTCTGTGTATAGATTGATTGATTTACAATTTTCATCTAGTATGACTATGCAGAATTTGGAAGATTATTTTCCATCTGTACGCAGGTAATGAGATCTCGCCTGCTTCGGATGCATGTGGCGACTCGCGAGCGCCACTTTGAAAGTGCTCCCCTGATATGTGCCACTGGATAGGGGGTGTTCAGCGCTGATTGATATATATGCAGATAAGGTATTCAATATTTGCCTTCCAAGTTGTATCAGTACGACTTGTTCATTTACGAATATGTCTATGATTACCGTGGCGTCCTAGGCTTCAAATTTGAAGTCTTCGCTCGACTCCCTGTTCCCTCCTGTGTTGTCATGATGATCACAGTTATACACACCTTATATGTTCAACCGAGGGGCAATTCGGTCTCGATTTGGATGATTTGATCAACGCTGATGGAATGCTCAGGTTCCAATGAAATACGCGGTCCCCTGCTTTGCCAATATTGCTGCTGAAGACTAATCACGTTCTCAGGACTCAATGTTATCTAGTACCGATAGCTCAATCACCATGGGCGTCCCTGGCAGATCAACGCCGAGCATGTCATCGCTGATATCCTTCGGATGACTAGAGCCCAGTAGGATGACTGTAAATAATACCGCCATCCAATACCGCCTAGCTTAGGGTAGGGTCGGAGACCGTATCTGTTTCAAACACGACCAATATCATCCAATCCATCGACATATCAGACTCGGTGAAGCATGGATGGCGCATCGTTGCTCCATCAGGGTTTGCCGGGGTCCATTTAGCGTGTTTGCCTCTGCGGTACAGTCGCGTCGAGATGCTGACCGTTGTTGAGGCGCTCATCACAGCTGGCAGGGAATGGCAATGAAGTAGGCAGCAGCATACTCGTAGAGGATGTAGGGCTTGAAGGACTCGAGTATCGATCATGTTTTGGATGTCCCCGTGATCCCAAAACTTTCCCTTGGTGTCATTGTATCGGCCAATGTATGAGCCTCGTCCCAAATGGTAAGTAGAGGCTACCGCCGACATGGTTGGGAAATTTGATGGCGCATGACTCATTCAAGCAAGGTGATGAGTACACATTTTCCGGGACCCACCGCTCAAAAATCTCATCTTGATGTTCTGATAGGAAGTTTTGGATATGAGGCGAGCAGACATTGGCTGTAGACGGAAGATATGAAATGCATATAATCGAGGCTAGAGGTTCTTTCGATGAGCATAGCCCTTCACACTTGGCAATTGGATCTGTTAGGCATGTTGAATCTATTTGAAATGGTGATCCACTTGTGGCCTCAGCCATGCTAAGAACTTGAATCTTTTTCGTGTCTCGAAAGCCGGGTCTATTGGATACACTACTCGCAAAAGTTCGAGCAGTGATTTGAAGCGTCTGAGATTACAGGAGTTCAGTATGCAGCACTAAATTGCACACAATTCCCAATTCAATAGAAACTTAGAAAGCAATCAGCCCGCTGCATCACAGCATCCATTTCATACGGCTTGATTGACGTCCATTCTCTTACTGCGCAGATGATCCTTTCGCCTTGCTATATATTTGCTGCCCAATTAATAATATACTGAACCACTCGTTTCACGCGTAAGTAGAACAGGAATTTGCCTCGCGTTGTGTCAGAAGAATTTGTCAATACTTTATGCTTGTGACACGGCCCAATGTGATAAATGACAGAAAATGAGAGAAATACCTCATACCTCCTTGTAAGGTAAGAATTCACTGTGAGATCCAATATATGTGGTCGAGGATATGGATCGTAGAGTATTGAAGATCCCCTTGAAGAAGGTTAATTAGAAGAGTTTTCATCGACAGAGGACCCTCCTAAATATACTTACCCGCACAAGCCTGCAGAAGTCCGCGACTATCCGTAAGAAATACCAGTGTCCCGGCGTTGAATTAACCACGGCATCATTCTAATACTACCGCACCGGCTTTCGGGTTCGTCCAATGGCCACAATTGATGTATCTCAAGGCTCTGTGACCAGAACGTTTGCAGGAGAGAAATCCATCTATTTACAATAGACACCAAGTATAGGAGTAAAAGCATAACGAATCGATCAGCATGAACTGCTGCATAGTAAAGCAGACCGGAGATACTACCGCTCATACCATGTAGGCAGGCCAATGTAGGACCACTCCCCAGGGAAGATTGATCTCTAGAAACAATAGTTGAAGCAAGAAAATAACCTGTAGTGATACCAAATCCTTTGCCTTCACGCAATGACCATCAAATTCAGACTTGATCTACCTTCTTGACGCCG